TCTTTTTGTAGTGTAATAGGGTGAACTGCATGTGCAGGTGACACCCACAGCTTAACAAAAGCATAACAGAAACTCTTCCAGTTTGTCCTTGAGGCATTGGGAAGAGATGAGTGTCTAGTGCTGAATGCATTCTACACAGACATCCATAGAGGCATGTCGCTGCACAGGAACTTGAGAGGATGAAGTTTAAGGATAAGGGGTGGAGATTTAATAGCAGAGAGCAAAAAAGGTCATAAATCCAAATGAAGTGATGATAGAATCGCAAATCAAAACTGAGCAGCCTGGTGCATTTTACAACCTGCTGAGTTGATTTATGCTGAACTGGGCTGTCTAATCCAGCAGTAATGCTAGGAAACAAGCTCACTGTGAAAGGATCCTTTCCATCCATGTGATTTGTACAGGAAAGCCCTCTGTAAAAATAAGCCATAAAAAGTAAATGTTTCCATGCCTGCTGCAGTGAGCATCAACTCCCGTAGCCCAGCAATCCCTATGGTGACCACTGATGTGTTTCCTGGCAAACATTTTCTCCAACACAAAGATTGAGTCCTGAGTTTCATTCACCTCACTGCAACAGGAAGTGCTTCGGAAGAACCCGGGGGGGGGGGGGCATCACCTTTGGGTCTGCAAACAGCATCCATTCAGCCATCCCTATCATAACAAGATGCTTGGCTGGGAACCTCTAAACATTTTGTGACTACGTCTCCCCCACGGCAGCCCATTTTGTGATCTGTCCCGCCTCCCACTGCAAGCTATTTTGTGGTGGCACCTGCTATTTTCAAAAAGTTCCAGAAGTTCCCACAGGCTCATTGGGGTTGGAGAACTCAGCCATACCTATGCAGGCTTTATCTGACCTTATATGTATACAAGCAGTGGAGGAATGCCTCTCTGTATGGCCAGTGATTGAACTAGAAAGTTCAAGTAAAATAAAATTGACTGCTGAAATGTTATTGTTGCTGATACTATTGTGAGTTTTTACTCTTGATTCCATTTTAATAGGTTAAAACTTCATGTTGCAGGTTCTGCCTTTAGTTGTTTTCCGTGCCTGATTAGAATACTGCTGTCATTAGGCACTGTGAGTACGGGAGGGGTGATACAGAAATTGCTAAATAAATAATAAATAGACATTCTTTTCAGAGTCATAAGACTCTTACACAGTCTTTATGCCTGCACTGAAGTGAATTATTCAGGAAAAGAAGGCATGATTGTACATAAGATTGTACATAACGGAGAGGGGGATACACAGTTTTGCAAAACTGGGGGTGGGGGGGGTGGGGTGGCCATGACTAGAGGAGAAAGCAAATCTAGCCAAGCCTAACACTGGACCATGAAATTTCCCAGAACACTCTGTTCTTCGTTCCGCTTCTGGATGCAGCAAGTACATCTCAGCACTTACTAGTGTGAGATTGTCCCATTCTTTTAATTTCAGCTCCTGAAAAGCTACCCCACCTGTATTGCAACAGAAATCCGTACATGCACAGAAGGTGCTCCACATGACTGTGCCACTACTGCAGAACTCTTCCATTAGCTTCCTACTGCTGGGTGCTGGGAAGAGGGTAAACAGAGCTGGGATTTTCCAAGACTAGTTAAGACCCTTTTAACATTAATTTTGTGTTGGATACACATGGCTCTAGTGAATACACATGGTATTCACTGGCTCTAGGGGAGTTTTAGACATCAACGTATAAAATTTGTTTGGATTTCTCATGCTTCCTACTGAAGGATTTAAAAAACAAAATCTTCTTTTAATCCCCTCTTTTGCACTGCCAGCCCCTTGAATTTAAAAAGTGTAAAAATGCAAGGTGGAAGGAGAATAGGGGAAGGATTCAGTCATTGCACAGGAGGCTAAGGTCAACATGCAGATCACACACCCCTCCTTTCTGCTTTTTTTTGGGGGGGGTATTTTGGCTGATGCAAAATGAAAGCCTTAAGTGTCTTCCTTTTTCACCTGACACTGCAAAGCAGGTGAGGTTTCTGAGGTGGCAATTTGCTGTACAGAAGGCCATTGTTCAGTCCTCTTATCTAGCATAATGGTTGGGTTGGAGGAGGGGGGAAAGATATCACTACTGAGTGTTCTGTACAATTGGCAAAAGCCACCGGAACTGTGTGCCTGCTTGGTTAACTACTAAAAGCCCTCCTCCCCACCAGGCAACTAGGGACACAACACAAGAGCATAGTCAAGTAAAGTAATAAAAGCAGTGAATAATTATAGTGCTGCTCAGTGCTTCAAGACAGCTATTTTGCTTGGCCCTACAGAATCAGCATTGCTCAGCAATTGCCAGAAGTGGCAACGCATTAGATTAAAACCCAGTCTGAAGTGTCTCAGATGGAAGGGCAGATGCTAAAACACTGGTCTCCCAGTTCCGGGGTGGAGACATGGCCTCCAGAGGACTGTAACACTGATTTCCACCACCTCCCCCCCTCCTGTTCTGTGGGATCAAAGGGGGATCAGAATGTCTTCAGCATCTCCCTCTCAGGCTCAACTGGGCTTCTTTATTCTTTCTGTTCCTTTTGTTTCAAAGTTCAATAAACAGGAAGAAAAGGGAAGGGGCTTTGACAAATCCCATCAAGGCTCAGGGAAAAGGAAGGCTTGCCCTCAGTTTGACATGCTAGACCCAGCACTAATAAGAGGTAAGGAGGCACCTCAGGGGAACAACAACAAACCCCTGAAGGAAGGGCTTAGAGAAGAAACAATTAATGCTGGATGGAACAAAAAAGGGGGTTAAAGCAGAGCTACACATACCAAAAGGGACAAGTACCAAATCTCCCCTCCCTCCCCCCTCCCAGGCTTGACTAGGACTTCTACAACCTGCATTCCAAAAGAAGGACCCAAAAGGCCAAAAGCTGCTTCCAGCTAGGACTGGAATTTGCAGCTGAAACAGTTTTGTAATGGATGCCCCCCAACACACACACACACACACGCACACAAATAGCCAAGCAAACAAACATGAGGGCCCGCTAACAATTCACTCAGCACCCTCTCAGGGGTCAAAAAAAGGAACATCTTTTATGCATCTGCCATCACCCACAAGCAGCCTGGTGTTTTAGTATCACCAGGACCATAGTTAGGGCTGCCAACCTCCAAGTGGGTACAAACACACAGGGAACATGGCAAAGTTAGACAAACATAAAGAAACACTGTGATAGAACAAAACACAGTTCTACTAATATGTACTTGTATCTTCATATATTGATTTACTTGCAATAAAGACTCTAGTATATCTTATACACATACACAAACCTAAAGTACATTGTATTTACTAATAGAAAAGTCCACAGCTACAAAGACCTATTCCAATGCTGTAGACTATCTTGCTCCTGATAAAGGACTGATGAAAGTTGCAGCAGTCATACATGATAAGAGATGCAGCAGGCTGTTATATTCTCCACAAAGAGTAATTCAGCAGGCATCAAAGCAGGCATGAGAAATGCAGCAGGCAGTTGTATTTTCCACACAAAGTGATTCAGCAAGCATCAAAGCAAGCAACACGCCTCCTAGGCAAAAATTGCGCGTTTCGACAAATACTTCTTCAGGCAGACATATTTTTCCTGGAACCAAAGCTCTCAATTTTACTGTGCTTCTGGAGAAGCCTTCTTTAGAATGGTTGACTTATTAGTAAATACAATGTACTTTAGGTTTGTGTATGTGTATAAGATATACTAGAGTCTTTATTGCAAGTAAATCAATATATGAAGATACAAGTACATACTAGTAGAAGTGTGTTTTGTTCTATCACGGTGTTTCTTTATGTTTGTCTAACTTCCAAGTGGGGCCTGGAGATCTCCCGCTATTATAGCATCTAGACAATAGTTCCACTGGAGAAAATGGCTGCTCTGAAGGGTGGACTATATGGCATTGTACCCTACTGAGATCTCTCCCCTCCCCAAACCCCACCTTCCTCAGGTTTCACCCCCCAAATCTCCAGGTATTTCCCAACACAGAGCTGGCAACCCTAGCCACAGTGGGCCTAGACTGCCTTCTCAACAATAAGAAGTGGTAAGTACTCCACACCAACTTCCTTCGTACTCTCCAGAATACAAGACAGTATTCCCTCCACTATAAGAGTATGAAAACCAGCCTTTAAAGAATGACAGGGTGGCTGGGACCCAAAGACAATAACAAATGAATTTACTAAGAGTAACTCACAACAGTTGCAAGGGGTTTTGGTGGGTTACAGGTTGCTGAGAGAAGGCATGGTGCACCCTAGGATTTTCGGTTCAGATCAGACTTTCTCTGTTCAGCGGTGTCCAAAACACACAACTGTTAACCTACAGCATACAGAAGCTGCTGCACAGATGTCAAAATAGAGGTGATGCATGGAGGCCTCTACACCCTCCCAGCACCTCAAGTGCTAGATTAGAATAAGAACATAAGACGAGTTCTGCCGTATCAACCAGTGGTCTATCTAATCCAACAGCCTCTTTCACCCAGTGGCCAATCAATTGCCCAGGATGGCCAGTAAACAGGGCATAGAGGCCAAGGCCTTCCCCTGATATTGCCTCCTAGTTCTGGGTTTCAGAAGTTTACTGTATCTGAATACCATTACTAATCATGGTTAGTGGTTACTGGTTAAGCTATCCTCCATGGTTAACCATGAATCTGAAAAATGATGCAGTGTTAGAGACAACCTACAACCAAACAGCTTGGTCCAAACAACTATGCCTCAGCTCTGCCCATCCTATTTGATTATTCAGTTACTATGGAAAGTTCTTATCAGACAAAAGGAAAACATGCTTTTGTCACATTAACTACTTTTATTCAGCAGACCTAGGTAATTCTTCCATACAGGAGACACCCAACTTTCTAGTCAGTGCAGTCCCTTTAGCAAGGAACAAGTTGTCACCAGATTGGCCCATCTTCTGATAAGCCTAAAATGGGACATAAAGTTAAAGCACGTCAAAATTAGTAGGTGGCATGACTAAGAACAAATATTGCTGCAGTGGTATGCACTGGTTTTACAACTGAAACCTTGCCAGAAAAGGTCAGAAAATTCCCAAATTTCAGTTTTCTCCCTCCTTGCAGAGCCAAAAGCCCAGGGAAGGATTTCAGACTCACAGAATTATGGAAAACTTTTCAAACGAACAGTGAAGTCCTACGCAGAGTTACTACAAGCCACTGAAATCAGAGTAACTCTGCATAGGACTGCATTGCTGAAGTCTCCTGCCCTTCAGATGTGGTCCAAACCCTGATCACTAGGTTGATTACACATAACCAGAAACAGAAAATGCATCGCCTTGGATTTCCTAGCAGTGTTGAAAATCATCCATATTTTTACGTTACAAGAACTTCAACGTCAGCAGTAGCCATTCCGTGAAAGGAGTATTTCATTTGGTTCTGATCATACATTTGGGGTAATTATATATTCTTTTATACAGTGACATATGAAAAGGTATCAACAGTGCAAGGAGGCTAGTAACGAACATGCTAATCAGTCATCTTTGGGGCTTTTTTTGTGACAGTACTCACCAGTACTGAGTAGCCACACCTTTTTCTGGGGCTCTCCCACGTCTGAGTAGTGGAACCTTTAAAACAAAACAAAAAACACTGATTATCGTAATATGAATCTGATACCTAAACTGCACTGGGCAACCACCAGCAGGCTCTACTTCCAGGCTTCAGTACTAGAAAGTGGGTGCCTTATTAAAGATTTTCTGATTTTCTGCAACATTCCTTGAGGCATTTGGACAGATCATCACAAGGAATGCTATTTGCACTGTAAGTATGTAATCTAAACTGGAAGACTAGTGCGTTATTGAATAAACTTGCAGGTAGATATCCTGGTCTACACTGCGACACAGTAAGAGATGGCTTTTGTTGTTGTTTTCATGCTACTAAACTATTAAAGTGTCTTGGCTTTAATTTTGGGCTTGGAGTTCCCTGGCCTTTTCCTTGGAAAAGTCATGTTCAGTTTCTGAAAACTGCCTTTTAGAATTAATCTCAGGACAGACACCCTGGAAATATAGTTGATCCTTTTCTTTTGCTGGTCAGTTACACAATATTTGACTACAATCAAATAAGGAAGCTCTTCTCCAAATTCCTAGGTGATGTAAGTGTTCTCTCATGTTAATTTAGACCAGGGTCTTAAAATTGTCTGCAGAAATAATCTGCAGGGGGAGACAATATCCAGCTCCAGTGTGGGTAGGGTTCCACAACAGGATTTTCTACCCCATGCCTGCAGCCTACTACAACCCCCAACCCACTCCAAAAGACATTTAGTGGGCTGCTGCAAGCAACTATCTGGTATGAATTATTCAAGAGGGTTTTTGTTTTTACACAGGTAATAGGGCTGTACTGAAACAATTATTCAGAAAGATAATTGGGTAAAGGGTTAGGGATTGTGGTCTGTACTACCTTGTATATTTTGTAGTGCCTATTTCTGTAAGCAGGATCCTAATATGTAATATTTGCATTGTGTAACATGTCACGTTAATACTTATGCTTTGCTTCTGTTCTGTTTTCAAATTTCTGGATGATTATGGATTTCTACAATCATAATCCTATTGCATTGTTTATTGGATGTCCAATTCTATGGACTGTATTGACATAACTCGGTGTAATCTGCCTTGAGTCTCACTGAGAAAGCCATACTATAAATAACATCTGTGGATTACACAAAAAAATTCTCCCCCTATTTTCCACTGTGCATCCCTATGAAATCTCTGCTCCCATTTCATGCTTTTTTTAAAAAAATCCCCTTTGTATTGAGGCACCTTTTCTACCTGATTTGTTGAAGCACATGCTTTTGTAGGTCCACTTCATGAAGTTTTTAATTTTTAGGTTTTAATTTTTGTAACATCAATTTTTTGAGAAAAAGCTGGACTATAAATACATAATTATGTATGTAGCTGCCCCTGTGATGTGGACTGCCCTCCACAGGAAGATAGGGAAGCCCCCCCCCCTTCAAAAAGTGTTTTGAGGGCAGTGTAAACATTTAAAAGATAAAAACTAAAATACATGCTGGAAATGTGATAGTGCTGAAATTTTCTGGCATAAAAGAATCTCTGAACATCAGTAGGGCACATTTCTAATAATCAAATCATATCTTTTCTTAAGTTCCCTGATAACTAGTGTTTCTACAGTCTCTTTTCCCTCTCCCATCCAACAACCAACAGTCATGGTTAGTTACTTAAAGCTTACAAGTGTGGCCTTTTTATTATACAAGGATATTCTGTTTCTCTCAAGAGAATGATCCCTCTGCCTTCAGGAAGACAAAGTTTTAGCTGTCTGGCGAAACTGGCAGACTTCTCCAATCTAGTTGCTTGTGACCTACCAGAAGCAGGGGGATATATACTGAATCAAACAAACAACAGTGAGAAAAACTCTCCACATCCTCTTCTGCAATAGTACTGTCAAAATCCTAGTAACTAGGATTTTCTCCCACACTTTAATTGCTGGCTAGTGCTTCTAAACATAAAGGAGCATGGCTCTGAGAATTGCCAATCTCCAGGTCTCACCTGGAGTTCTCCTGGAATTACAAGGATTAGTTCCCCGGGATAAAATGGCAGCTTTGGAGGGTAGACTCTTTGGCATCATAAGCCTCCTGAACTTCTTCCCCTCCCCAAACTCTGTCCTCCTGAGGCTCCCATCCACAAATCTCTAGGAATTTCCCAACCCAGAGCTGGCAACCCACTCTAAGTGACAATGGACAGGAAAATGCACCCATGCTATGTATAGCAATGAGGACCTTATACTGCTGCACAGTTCACATTTTTCTTAGGAAAGCACTTGCTCAGCAATATAATAAAGCAGATCTTTCTGACTCTATAGATAAGGAGTTTAAGTATATCCATACCAGAAAAAGACATCAGTGGGGGAAAGTGGATGGTTTAAAATGTCCAGGGTTTTGTGAGAGCATCGAAGATTCTTTGACTATCACAGGGGGGGGAAAGAGAGAAAGAATTCATGTAAAATGTGCATGGGAGATACAAAGTAGTATACAGTCAAAAATTGTTCTGCCTACCTTCTTTTCCACCTTCCTCATACACAATAAAGAATTTACCTATCTGCATGGCCACTGCATTCTTTGTCTTAAAGCTGGAAGGTATGCTTAGCAGTAGAACTTTATGCTAGCTTTAAAAACATATTTATTGAGCGCAATACATTCTCCCAACTGCAGAAGTTAATCTGCATCTATTCAAGTCGATCCATAGTTATAATGTTTTAGATAGCCCACTATTCACAGTGAAGATTTAACTGGGAGGAGCCAGAGTTAATCCTGGTAGGGATCAGGCACATAGCAAAACTGCTGAGAAAAACCCATTAACAGCATGACAATTATTAAACAGACAGTCGTGTTCTAGCTAGAGAATTTTCAAATGCAGGATTATCCTTAGGGATGTTTCAAGCCACCCCAATAAATACCTTTCCAAAAGTATGCAACCACCACATGTAATTACTAGATTTTATGATGGAAGTCTTAATATCAGTTTGTTGAATCCCCTGTACTGTTGACTTTGCATTATGGCTGATGAACGAATACTACCTCACAGCCTGACTAGTCACAAGGGCAGTTTCTTTAGCTTCTGAATAAGAGAAGATGACATAACATGCCAGGACTTCAATGGCTAAGTTTTGGCTTTAGAAGCCAAACAATTGCAATATTCACCTGGAAATTGCTAGAACTGTCCTCACCAGCTTTGTCAGGTTTATTTCACTTACTGGATGTTCAACAGGATCAGTAAAGCAGTAAAGCTGTAAAGCTGGTGGTCACTTTTGGAATATTAAGAAAGGGTAGTAGAAACCACTGCAAAATGGCTACTACAGAGAGGTTTCAAGCCAAGAATCTTCCTATAATGGAGACAGCAGCTGCTTCTGAATTAGGACTGCCTGCAGGAGTAAACGTAATGCCTCCTAGACTCTTCTTAAACTATTCCTGCACCAAAGAGGCAAAAAAAAGCCAAGATCATCTTGTTGCTTTGGAAAAGCAGCACTGTTTTCAGTTTCCACAGAAATGGGAATGCTTCCAGGCCTAGAGACATAAGAAAAATCTGTGTCTGTGGCCAAGCCTAGCCCACATGTCTATAATACACCTATCTGGGATGAGCTCAGTGCTTTGCTAACTAGTCAGCTGGCAGGAAACAGCCCAAAGTGATTCCCTCGCCCCCCCCCCCTTCAATGAAGACAAGTTGAATATTATTATTCAAGACTCAAGAAGCACTGCTTTGTGTGTTCAAGATGAGAACACAAGTTCAGCAGGGCCAAAAAAAACGTGTGTATGTGAATATATGTGTATATATTGCCATCAGGTCACAGCTGATTAATCATGACCCTGTGGGGTTTTCAAGGCAAGAGATGTTCAGAGGTGGTTTGCCATTGCCTGCCTCTGCATTCGTGACCCTATGTATAAAGTTGGTCTTCTGCTGACTGCCTTACCACTTTTATTGTGCAATGTCTATAAAATGAAGTAATTTCAACAGGCATTGCATATGTAAGGTGATGCCTCTAGAAATTACTTCATTTTATAGACATTGCACAATAAAAGTGGTAAGGCAGTCAGCAGAAGACCAACTTTACACAGCCATGCCCTAACACATAGCATGCAGTATTAAAACAGACTGATGCCATCATCACTTGAACCCAAGCTGTAGGGGATGGATTTAGACTAAAGCAAAATCCTGGATCTACACTGCTTTTTATGGATCACCAGTGATACACTGTCTATTCAGAGAATCTTGTAATATTGCCAGCTGGTGTCTTCTGTCAATAAGCATGAGTCAGGACTGAATTGCAAGCAATGGCTTTCACTGGAGTCCTTTAATGGTTACTGTAGACTAATAAATGGAGCACATCTCATCAAGTTCTAGTCTGGGAGACAAGGGCCAGTGCAATTATTGTACTGTTATCTATCTATGGATTGCAAGCCTGTAAACAAAGCCTATTGTCTGCTTTATCCTTTGTAAAATGCCTGGATCATTACAGGGAATCAATACTTTCATAAGTGATTATGCTGTTATCTAAATCTGCATGAAGTCCAGGCATCTGGATTCTCACTTCCAGAATAGTTTCAGCCAGCCTCCTTGTTAGCAGCAGGATTGGGAAGTTTATCCAACTGGCTTCACTTTTTGCAAAATGTCAGGGTTTGGATCAACTTTCCCTCTCTGGGCAAAGTCTACAGTGATCAAACACAGATATCTATTTCCAGATGCTACTGGGAGATGCAAGCCAAACTCACATTTTAAAAAGCCATCAACTGAGGCGCATCGATGATTGTGAAACCAACTTCCTGGAAATGCAGGCTCCCATGTAAATGGGACTTTCAGTTTGAACTGACCAAACACACAATACTACCAGGAATAAAAGTGGAAGTACATGTTGAGGCAAACGAGGAATACTCAGTCCCATGGCTAGTTTGTAACATTAATACATGTGTGGGGTGGGTGTGGATTCGGATGTTTTCAGGGTAGAATATAGCATTACATTGATGCTGATTTTCTCCAGCTGCTTTGCGTGGTTTATCCCTGCTGAGTTCTGAATCTTGAAATAAAGCTGCCTAGAGCTCATGGAGGGGATTTGCAGGGCAGAAGCAGTAGGTGAAGAAGGGTTAAACATCCACACCTCCTGCCTACCAATTTTCTATTTATTACCCCCCCCCCAAGTTCTTTATATTACCTCAGAAAACATGGGGTTGGGAACATATTTTTGCCAAGGTTGAACGTAGTTCTGCCCTCAGGGGGACTTCTTCTTTGCAGAGTTTAGAAAAACAATTCATAATATCACAAGCAATGGGGGCATTTAAGATTTTGGAAAGGAATCAGACTTCTGATTGGAGCAACTCTGCCAACATGGACCAAATATCACAAAAGTTACTTAAAACTTTTCTAGGTCCCCCCCCCCCTGTCAAAGAATAGAGGCCCTGCTCTCTAGTTTCAATGCAGTGCCAAACCTTGGTGTTACATAGGGATGCCAGCCTCTAGGTGGGACCTGGGAATCCCCCAAAATTTCAGTTCATTTCCAGAAATAGTTTCCCCTGGAGAAAAGGGATGCTTGGGAGGGTGGACTCTATGTCATCGTACCCCAGTGAGGTCCCTGTCCTCCCCGGCCTCCATCCCCAAATCACCAGGAGTTCCCCAACCTGAAACTGGCAATCCTACCCCCCCCCCCCAATCCCCTGCCAGTGCCCGGGGGCACCAGGCAACCCTAGCTGTTACACGATGAGCCTCTGGAGCGGCTATTTTATCCTTTCCTCCCTTCACATTATGTGACAAACTATAGTTTGCTGTTGATTTGAACTGGCAGGCCATGGGTTGTGCTTGTCCTCTAAACCAGAATTGGCAACCAGAGTTTGATTCTGGTGTTTTATTCCAGTTTGGAGGGCAAGCACAAATCATAATGTGCTGGTTAAGATGCAAAAACAAATGACTGAAAGGGACATATTTGCAACAGGGCAGGAGATCAGCCAAAAGAGAAGGGAGTGGGAAGCCTCAAAGCTCACTCCTGCAATGCCAAACCATATGGCGTTATACATTAGGGTTGTCAGCTCCAGGTTGGGAAATACTTGGAGATTTGGGAGGTGTAACTTGGGGAAGGCAGGGTTTGGGGAAGGGAGGAACCTGAGCAAGGTACATTGTTCTTAGAGTCCACACTCCAAAGCAGCCATTTTCTCCAGGGTAAATTATTTCTGCTGTCTGGAGATCAGTTGTAATTCTGGGAGATCCTGAAGCCCCACCTGGAGGTTGGCAACCCTATTATATACGAACAGAGCTTGTGGATGCCCCATACCGTAGTCCTATCTATCTGGTTAAACATAAGTTTGTTGGCAATGAAGCTGTACTAAAGGGCTGAACATTCACTGGACTGCAAACTCATCTTGACCACAGGGAGTTCTTCTGTCACACATAGATTAATGCAAAATATCAACCTCTCTGCTTTACTCTCAATAATTACATAAACAGTAGCAAAAGATTGTTCAGGAAACTTAAGCTTTTACTACTTGGCTGGGCATTAACAATAAACAGCCTTTGATAGATAGCTTAGAAAGCTCTGGAATATACTCAAAACTCCTGCATTGCCATATTTGGAAGGTGCCAAGATTCCAAAGCCCTCCCCAGCACACCTTTCAGTGAGAGCATAAAAAACCACTGAAGGGTGTTTCTCCACTCACCCTACGTTTTGCTTTTAGTTTTCTTCACTGGCCCCACTGGGATATTTTCAAGCAACCCATTTTAGTTTGTCTTTCTCTAAGCAGCTAGCTAATAAGTACTGGGAAGCCAAGACCAAAACCTTTCATCTTTTGCCAAATTTAGATAACATTTTAAGGTCACATTAGTTTAATATCCTGAGTCACAATCAAATAAAGCTATGGAGAAAAGGTAATGGGAAAACAGGGCATAACTGTAAATATCAGGGGAAACTTTAATTATGGAAAACTTGGAATGGGCACTCTCCCTCCCAAGTAATTTCATTCACAATCAGTCAGCACTCCGTGGTTATACTCCCCTGTGCCTGTGATGGCCAGAAATGTCCTTGAAGCCCAGGGCAAACACAGATATTTTAGAACAATATATCAGAACATTGTTTTTTAAAACCCTGGTAAGTGTCTGCCAACTGCCAAGAGGCCCAATATAGCACAAGATGTGATAGGTCTGCTGCATTCTATTTATTTCTGTATTCTTCTGAGGCCCATGCAGTATATGCCTCTATTCTAAAATGGATCTTGTTCTTTGGGTATGAAAGTCCAGATTGTCTGTATGTTGTTGCATTCGTGGGGAATGAAATTAATATGTTTTTTTCTGGTGTGATTTTAAAGTAAGATACAGATGCTTGGGTAAGATAACTGCAGTCATTAATTAGGCACATGAGACTTTCTCTCTCCTCCGTCCATGTCCTCTGATCACGAAGCGATCTATGTCAAGGAGCATTACTGCAAATGAACTTTTGAAATCTCAGCTTCTGTGTCGTAAGAATGTTGTTTGCTCAGACCAAAAGTCCATCTAGTCCACCATCCTGTTTCCAACAGTGGCCATCCAGGTACTTCAGGGAAACCCAGAAACTGCAGGCTCTGGCTATTCAGAAGTATACTGCCCTTAAACATGGAGGTTCCTTTGAGCTATCATGGATATCAGCTATTGATAGACACTACTTGGTGGTGGTGGCAAGTGCCATCAAGGCCTTTGCCACAGATTCACATACATGCTCAGGTTGCATTCAGTTTTTGCTCTGCAGTGACCCTCATAATTCCCATAATTTTTTCAACTCAGGCATTTCCAAGGGTGTAGACTTTCCAATTTCCCGGGGGGGGGGGGCTGGGGCTGGGCCAGAGGCATTGCTTTGCTAGGAGCAAGGGTGGCTCCCGGGGGAGGCTGAGCACTTTCCTGAAAATTTCAGCGGGGGCTGAAGCCCCGCCGCCCCCACGAAGATTACGCCTATGGGCATTTCCCACTAATCATGCAGCTCCTTTTCTTCAGAAATGTTCGGCTTTTTTATATAAATGAACTTGCTTGCACTTGTTCAGCATTGCTTCTACTGTAGGACAGTTTTTTAGCCTTACTTCCAAATATTTCAGGCATTCCCAGCATAGTTAGCACTGCTGGGAGATTGTAAGTAATATAGAACAAACACAGAAGGGGACACAGTTTGGAAATCCCACCCCCACTCCCAAATCTTTCTGTCCCAGGATTCTCTATGTTCTCAGAAGACTGAACAAGTGTATTTCTCTTTCTTCATAAGAACATAAGAGACGCCAATGTTGGATCAGGCCAAAGGCCCATCCAACACTCTGTGTCACACAGTGGCCAGAAATACCAGTACCATCAGGAGGTCCAGCAGTGGGGCCAGGACATTAGAAGCCCTCCCACTGTTGACCCCCCCCCCAAGCACCAAGAAGACAGAGCATCCTTGCCCCAGAGCCCCTAGCTATACCTTGTGGCTAATAGCCACTGATGGACCTCTGCTCCATATGCTTATCTAATTCCCTTTTGAAGCCGTCCATGCTTGTAGCACCCACCACTTCCTGTGGCAGTGAATTCCATGTGTTAATCACTCTTTGGGTGAAGAAGTACTTCCTTTTATCCGTTCTAACCCGTTCTAATCCGTTCTTCCTTTCTCTTTAACCAACATCCAACTTTTTGCAATATTCCTCCCTTCTAGAGCATATTCAGTCCTCATCAGGCTTTTAAATACTTTTTTTCTCTTTATTTAATTTATAGTGTCATGTTTTTTTGCATATCCAGGAAGTCCCCAAAGATACCTGGGTGGTTTGGTTTGGGTGCTTTTATCTCCAGCAGTGGACCAACCAGTTTACCATAGTAGTAGAGGTCTCCTAAACCTTTTGATAATACTACAGGTAGTGTTGGCGGGTGGTCAGATAGATATGAGCACCATTTTTCCTATTCAAACACAAGCTATAGCCCAGTGCCTTTTGTCAGGGTTTGAGCCCCGTGACTTCTGGCAAGTCTCAACATAAGCGGTAATAACACATCCCACTCCTCACCTGCACAAAGAATGCTGTTAACTAAGCAATCAACCAAACTTCCCCATTGCACGACAGAGGTACCTTCTGAAGACAGTGGATTGATTTAAGAGGAAGAAAAGGAATTCAGACTGTTTTGTGACATATTTGCTGTTTCGCCTTTCTGTCTTGTTTCACAAAGAGATAGAAGCAAGTCACCATGACAATAAGCAGTATATAGACAATAAGCACTAGACAATGCCACACATCTCCCTCAGGCTATTCAACTGCCAGGAGCTGGGATAGATTCCCGACTACCAGGATTGCCTGTGTTTTCACGATTGCTATCATAAGTAGCAAGGGTATGAGAACCTGTCTCTGTTCAAGCTCACTGGCTTGCTTTGGATAACTTGTCTCCAACACTCTGCATCTGTATGCTGGAAGTAATCATTCAGCTCCCAAGATTGTCCAACTCCACGGAAGATAAAAATAGCAGTTGTTCCAATTGTTGTTGCAAGATTCCACCAAATATAGACTGATAGATCGTCACAATGATGACTAATTCTGGTTTGTTTTATTTAACTAAATAATTTCCAAACTGTCTTTCTCCCCACAGGACCCAAAGCCGTGAACAAAAATAAACAATGAAAAGCAATCCACAATCAGCATAACAAAAAAAAGCACACTTTAGAGCTTCAACTCAAGTACACACAGAGAGAGGGAATGCCTTTTAAAACAGGTGTTCTGTACCACCTCCTCCCTAATTGCCTCTGGCATGCTGTTCCACAGTGCAGGGGCAGCTACAGGCAGTTTTCGTGGAGGGTGAACAACACACCTTACAGAGAAGCACAGATTTTGCTGCACGGGCTCACACTGTGTGTCCCGGAGGGTTAAAGGCTTTAAAGAGCATTGAACCGAACCCAGAAACAGCCAGTAGAGATCCCAGAAAAGGCATAATATGAGCAAAGATGTCAGTCCCAATTAACAACAGGTTAACAACCACTTTTTGAAAAACTGCAATTTCTGAGTTGTCATCAAGGGCAGCCCCACGTGGAATGTGTATAGTACAGTCTCAAGGTTACTGTAACATGGCTAGATGGGCTGAATCCAAAAGGGGAGATAGCTTCTGGGACGAGGCATAGCTGAAAACTTGCATTTGGAGTCACGTTCAACTGTTTTTTAGTAGAAGGATTGAATCTAACAAGGCTCCTAAGCTCTGAACTGATTCTGATCTCTGAACTGAATCTGTCGGAGAAAGGCTCACCACATCCAAAGCAGGAATCACAACTCCCTCTCAGACTTCAGCCTTACCAATTAGCATCATCCCAATCTTATCTGTATTCAACCTGAGCATGTTAAGAAGAACATGCCGGGGAGTGACAATCATCTCATGGCGACCCTTTCCACAGGGCAGTCCTGCCAGGAGATGAGCAGAGGTGGTTTGCCATTAACTTCCTCTGTGAAGCAACCCCACTCTTCCTTTGTGGTCTTGTATCCAACTATGACCACAGCTGACCCTCCTGGAATCCCAACCGCTGATGAGATTGGCCCAAACTGGGCTACCTCAGCCAATGGACCACAGAACTAAGGGAATGGCTCAGCTGAGATATCCCAGCTTCCAAAGACTAATGGGGAAAAAGTGATTTGGTTTGGCTATCATCTGCATACTGGCAACACTTCACTCCAAAGCTCCAGACAATCTTATGCCTTACATAAATACTAACCAGTATGGGAATCCTGTAAAGTCCCACAGGATACCTCCCAAACAGAAGATTCTGTGTCTCGAATGTTCTATACCCTATTTGATTTTGGGGTGGGGATACTTGAGCTATTAAAGTGCTGTCCCTTCAACAGCAACTCTATGCTCCAAGTACTTCAACAAAATGACATGGTCCACTCTGTCAAAAGCAGCTGAAAGACCCAACAGAATCAGAAGGGAAGACATTTCCTCTAGTCATCTGCAGGTGTATACTGCTTTACTGTTTCCTTCTTATCGAGTAACTACTCTAATCTATATACTGTTACAACCAAGAGCCTTAAAAAATAAAGTGGATTGATAGAATGAAAGCACTGGAGCACTCCAAACATAAACGGCGTGGCTCTACATAAATCAGTTGGAAGTACGTCAGATTGAACTTCAGTGGGACTTACTTCTGGGTGAATTTGTATAGTGACAGTCTGCACAAGTGCTTGCATAAGACACCCTGCAGTTAGGAAAGAAAAAGAAAAAAACCGTAATCACTCAGACACCAGGAGACGTGCTAGCAGCAAAATAAATAAAAAGTACAGCGATTGAGCTACCACAAGGCAAAAGGGCTTGTGACACTTTGAAGACCAACTCATAATTCTACTAAAATGTACAAGCCTTGGGGCCCTTTTGAAGGCAGAAAAGAAGCATACAAGTTTAAAAATAAATACAGTTACAAGAAGGCAGCTTTAGTCCAGAAAGTTCATGGTATAATAAATAAAATACAGCAAAATTTTATTCATAATTACACAGAATAGGATTACAGCCCTACACAGACTTAAGTGTGCCTGCACCCCCTAAAACCAGTAGGTTCAATTAGATTGTTAGTTTATAAAATTCCATACCATAATGCAGTAGCTCACAGTATAATCCTCTGCTCAGTTACTCCAGTTTAAGGCCAATGAGATCAATTGGCTTAGACTGGAAAAACTCTGCATGGGATTTCACTTCATTCTTTACACTTTGGGCACCTTCTTTGCCCTTACCACATATTATTCATCATCAAATAACTTGCTCTATCTGTCTGAAATTTGGCATGGAGAATCTATCTGGAGAGGGGCATAATCTGGCATTTGGTAAATGTAGCATCTTTTTCCAAAACAAAAATATTGGCTCTTGTTCAATGGAAGATGGGGGAGAAAGCCTGAACCATAACAGAAGTGCTGTTTATCTCTGCAGGAAAATCCCAGGAGGGACGTAAATCTGGCCATTACCATCTTCCCCCAACAAGAAGGCCCAGTAATTCAGCAGTTCCCATTTTTAAAAAGTAAGGAAAATTTAAAATTACAACACTGAGTTAAACAGAAAAGTTCAGGTACTTCACAATTCACTCATGCTCCAAAACTAAACAATGGAAACCATAACCATAAACCATAGAAACAGTACAGACACTGCACAATCTGACATCCATTCTTTCCTGCGGGCATTTCACAACAATAATTCCCACATGTAACCCTCATGTAACTAAATTCTTATCAAACATTTCTCTCACACTGACATCAAGTTCAGAGTAAAAGAACTGACATTAAAATAGCAAAAAAGTGTAGCTGAGGAACGTAAGTGTGCCTGAAATGTTGGACCTGTAATTGTTGTACCGATGACACAACATAAATTGGCACTTAACTAAAATGTCCACATTTTTGGAGCATGAGTGGCTTTTAAACGCCTAAACTCATCTCTTAACATCTCTTTTTTTTGCTCTCAAGTCTCAAGGGGTTTTAAGGCAAGAGAGGTTCGGAGGTGGTTGCCACTGCCTGCTTCTGCATCATGACCCTGATATTCCTTGGAGGTCTCCTGTCCAAATACCAGCAAGGGCCAACCTTGCTTAGCTTCCAAGATCTGACAAGATCCAGCTAGCCTGGGCTATCCAGGTCAGGGCAGTGTAAATGTCAAAAGTCAAAAAGAACACAGAGGCAAGAAAAGGTGAGATCTGTTTAATGCAATTAAACTTTTTGATAAACATTCTAATTTGGTGATTTCTTGCTGGAACTTCCCTTTAAAATCCCTTTGTTGAAGAAGACTTCCAGGTCAGCAGTATAGTATAGTCCTATAAGACTGAAATGTTTTGGCACTGGTTACTGAACGCTGCCATTTCAATGCAATTCTGTGCAGAGTTACGCCAATCTAAACCCACTGATTTCAATAGGCTTAGACTAGAGTAACTGTGTAAACGACAGGTTACTGCCCTATAGGTTTTAAGCATCTTTAATTAAGTAGTCTGTGTTATCACCAATTATAACTTGCAAATAAGATAAGAGGCCTTAACGATCATGGCCTAAAACATTATCCCCTTGCCCCATTTTTATTTTAACATCCAGCCTGATGAGTTCTAGAGAATTCAGAAGCTTACACACTGTTTTATTTTATTCAGTTGCTCTTAATAAAAGGAACTTTAATAATTTTTTAAAATTGTGCTTTTCTTGTATACTTTTGAGTTTAGCATATTGGTGTCACCGACTGTAGGAACTCATGAATCTTTAACCCACTAGTTCAAATTTTCTCTCTCACCTCCTCCCACATTCAACTGAATGGAATTTCTATTTTATTTGAAATATTTATCTACATGGCAGTGCACAACAATAAGAATGAAAAGACTAAAACAACATGATAAAAGGATAAAACGCAATAAAATAATTAACAATAGCATTACCCAAAACAAGAAATCACTTATTTACTTACTTACTTCATTTATAATCCACCTTTCAGCCGGAGACTCAAGGCAGATGACAAAATTTTAAAATTAAGAACTTGATGAAGTGGCCTGCCAAACATGGTTCAATAAATGTCTTGTCTTTAAGGCGCTACAATTCTCAAATTTGTTATTAGAAAAAGCCAAGTGTTTCTTTTCCATCAGACATCACATGCGGTGTTTGCTTTGCCCAGGTTAGAATTCCTGGTCCTCTACCAGATTTCCAACCCATTTGAAGCAGCACCACCTCTGTACCTGTGGGCTGAACCATGGAATGTGGGAAGACCGGATTCTCTCTCTCTCTGAGCTACGGCCATTCGTCCTTAAGAATCCTCTCTTCATCTCCCCTCCACTTAGAAGACCAGGAGAGAAGTCCCAGAGAGGTTTAAACCTTGCGTGCGCTCTCTTTTTAAGAAATTAACCATTGGAGAAGAAAATGAAACCGTGTTTTGAAGTCCGATTCTAAACAAATTTAGACGTATCGATTTCGACTGGATCAATTTGAATGTAAATGTATCGAGGACTGTAGCCGTAGATCCCTGAACACACAACGCGGTGGGATCAGCAGGACAGGAAAGGTGATTGCCTAAATTTTGCAGACGTCGTACTTGTTTGGGAATACAACCAACGAGGGAACTGTTACGGTTGGAAAGCCTTTACTGTTCTGCCTTTACTAATTTAACACATGGCGCCACCAAACGGCGCTCTGGATGCTGCAGGAATTTTTGAAAAGGTAGAGAAGGGAGGCATCCTTCCTTTCCGAACCAGAAGGTTCCCTCCAGGGCATACAGGGGTAGGTGGCATCCTTCCCATCCTCCTGGCTCCCCCCCCTTTTGTTTGCCTATTCAAGACCACCGCCCTGGCATGTCGCCAAAATACGGGCGCGGAGCATTCGCCACTTGCCGCCACCATAGATAAGCCGGGTCGGCGGGCGGCGCTGCGGCATCCTCTCCGGCAACGACAAAAGCAGCAGTAGTTGCCTCCCTCCAGGCACCATCGCTGCCCTTGCCTCCCTCACACTGACCAAGCATTTCTAGCCAGAAGCAACAGACGTCGCCCGTGGCGCGCGAGCTGTCGGAGCTCTGCAGGGGCAGCCAGCGAGGAAGCACGCCCGCCTCTCCGCACAAACTACTCACGCCCGCCTCTCGGCCCTTTAAAATCTCCTCCTCCTCTCAGCCGGCGCCGGCTCGCCTCAACCACTCCATCTTCGATTAATTCTCCCTCTGGCTCATTTGCTCGGCGCTTGATTAGCTTGGGTCTCGCTTGGCACTCGATTTGCGCAGGCGCGGAAGTGAGTGGGCGAGAGTGTGTCTGCGCGCCCCCGGAAGCGCGTGGCCGGTGGGGCTTGCTGGGGAGGCAGACGGGTCGTGCGCGGCGCTCAGTGGCGCGCGAGTGTCTCCCCCTGGGCAGCCATGGCTGGGTTGGTGCAGGGGCCAGTAGGGAGGCTGCGGCGCCTGTGCCACCGCTATCAGGAGTACGTGAAGCAGCATCCGGCGGCGACTGCCCAGCTGGAGAGCACCGTGCGCGGCCTCTCTTACCTGCTGCCAGGTACTTGGGGACGGGGCAAGAGCCTGGGAAAAGGAGAGGCGGCGGACTCCGGAATCCGAACTGGCTCTGCTGCCTCGCCTTCTCTGCCGCGCACATTGCCATGTGCCAGATTTTTTTCCCCGGCGGGGGGGTGGGGTCCCGTGTATCTGACAGCTGTGTCAGGTAGAAGTCCGGCTGGTGAGAGAGATGATGGGCACAATCACCTCCTGAATTTCTGCATTTTTGCAGTTTTTAAATGCATGGGAATCCTGCCAAGACAAAAGCTAGCGACCCAAAACAGGGATAATTCTTAGGGTTTGGTTGTAGGATCGCAGCCATGATTTTGTAGAGATCTTTTGTTTACAAGCCTTTCCCAGGAGCCGATCTCCCAGTGTTTCAGTAAGCCCACTGTCGCCCTCTCCCCCTGTGTCTCTTCACATATGCAGAGTAACCTCGGAGTTACTTTTGTGGGATCCAAGGCAAATCTGGGGAAACTAAACATTTCAGATGCCAGTTTGAAGAATCTGGATTAAACATTGCATTTGCTTTCACAGTTGGTCAGTACTGTTCTGGTGGCTGAGCACAAGATAAAGAGCAAGAGCTGGATGATGTCAATAGCCCTCTCTCAGTTTTTGTTCCCAACATTACAAGTATACTGCCTCTAAACATGGTGGTTCAATTTAACTGTCATGGTTAATAGATCTATCCTTCATAAACTTGTCTGCACTCCTGAAACTATCTGAACTTAAACCTATCTAAACCATGGCTGAGCGCAAGATAAAGAGCAAGAGCTGGATGAAGTCAATAGCCCTCTCTGTTTTTGTTCCCAACATTACAAGTATACTCTAAACATGGTGGTTCCATTTAACTGTCATGGTTAATAGATCTGTCCTTCATAAACTTGTTTGCACCCCTGAAACTATCTGAACTTAAACCTATCTAAACCACTCAACATCCTTACAACTTGTGTCAGTAAATTTAATAAGGCAGTTGTGTATGATGTCAGTCCTGAAAATGCCAGTTGATTTTTATGGTATGACTGTGATATTTTGGTGTTATATGACAGGTTGAAGCATTTCTCTATTACTATCTCCACACCATTTATAATTTTATAAACCTCTTATGGTGGACCCCTTTAGTCCCCCTCCCAGAAAACCTTTCAAAGACCCAAATAAATTAGCCCGTTGTTTTAGGACTCAGAATCTCCTTGATTTTTATGGTATGACTGTGATATTTTGGTGTTATATGACAGGTTGAAGCATTTATCTACTATCTCCACACCATTTATAAATTTATAAACCTCTTATGGTGGACCCCTTTAGTCCCCCTCCCAGAAAACCTTTCAAAGACCCAAATAAATTAGCCCGTTGTTTTAGGACTCAGAATCTCCTGATCATTTTGATTATACTTTTTACAGCTATACAAGTTTTCTTTGTGATATAAGTCTATATTCAAAATCCTTGCAACACCATCAATTTATGAAATAGTTATATAAAATTGCTGGTGTATTCTGAATTGCTTTCTGAATAATAACAAAGCATTTTGTCTGCTTCACTGTCTTGATGTTTATGTAGAGTTACCTCTGATGACTCTCAAGGGTCCCTTTCCTGGTTAGACTCAGCTAGTTCAGGTGCTGCCAGCAAATGTGAAATCTACATTTGCTTACATTGCATCTTACTTGCCAATTTTGTTGTCCATTCAGCAGTTTGAGGAGATCCTTCACAGTCCCCTTGTGCTTTCTCCATTCTTAATAATTCAATGTCATTTGTAAATTTGGCCTATCTCACTGTAAGTTAAATGGCGCCGTCTCCAATATAGATCCTTGGGGAACCCCATTGCTTATTTACATCCATAGCAAAACTGTATTTTCTGATCCTCTGCTGTTTGTTCTTTAACTATTTTCTGGTCCATAAGAAGTTTTGTCCTCTGATCTTATGACTTAGAAGTTTACTTAGGATCCTTTGTTGAGGAACATTGTCAAAAGTTTTTGAAAGTCTGCACATTGAATAGGATCAACCCTATTCAGGTAAGAGGAGCCTTGCATGGCTTAGGATGTGATTATTTCAAGGTAATGTGATAATGTAGTGTGGTTACAACACAACCCATCTTCCAATTAAGAATTTTTTTCACCCTGTATACATGACATTGCCCTTTTGCTTGCAGGAATCTGTTTCAAGCCATATTAGGCCTCCTCTAGCTCTTTCAGTTACATTACATGTACGGGGTCTATCAGTTCAGTTAGCCTTTATTGGCATATAACACCACTGTAAACATTAATATAAATAGGTAAAGGTAAAGGTTCCCTTGCTCGAAAGCCAGTCGAGTCCGACTCTAGGGTTGCGGTGCTCATCTCCGTTTCAAAGCCGAAGAGCCAGCGCTGTCCGAAGACGTTTCCGTGGTCATGTGGCCGGCAGGACTAAACACCAAGGCGGGGGAACCATATTACAAAACACATAATTTTATAAAATACATCAATTAATTGAACCAAATGACAGCTGCCACCTGGTCCATGTTAGCTATGAGCTTGATCATGAAAATATATTTAATAAGGTGCTGGTATTGATCTTTAAAGCCTTACATGGTTTGAGGCTAGCATACCGGAAGGACCACTTTCTCCCCTATAAACCTACCTAACTACTACAGTCATCTTTGGAGGCTCTGCTTTGGGTGCCCTGCCAATTGAGGCTAGACAGAGGGCAACCTGAGAATGGGCTTTCTTGGTTATGGTGCTGAAACTCTGGAACTCTCTCCCCAGGGAGATTCATTTAGGGGAACCATATTACAAAACACATAATTTTATAAAATACATCAATTAATTGAACCAAATGACAGCTGCCACCTGGTCCATGTTAGCTATGAGCTTGATCATGAAAATATATTTAATAAGGTGCTGGTATTGATCTTTAAAGCCTTACATGGTTTGAGGCTAGCATACCGGAAGGACCACCTTCTCCCCTATAAACCTACCTAACTACTACAGTCATCTTTGGAGGCTCTGCTTTGGGTGCCCTGCCAATTGAGGCTAGACAGAGGGCAACCTGAGAATGGGCTTTCTTGGTTATGGTGCTGAAACTCTGGAACTCTCTCCCCAGGGAGATTCATTTTTCTCCCTCTATCATTGTCTTCAGCCAGCAGATGAAAATTTTTCTACTATGTTTGGTGTTCCTCATTAACACTTATTAGCTCTCCCCTCTCTTTGTGTGGATTTAGATGTCTATGGGTTTACATATTTTATTTAATTACTTCAATTATATGTGTGTGTATTTAGGTATTTTATTTAATTACTTCAATTATATGTGTGTGTATTTAGGTGTTTTTGTGTGTACATTTTTGAAATGTTTTAGTGTTTGCCACTGTGGGAACTATGAATTGGGTGGAAAGGTGGCATAGAAAATGTTTAAATGAATAAAATAACAAGAAAGAAACAATTCGTTAGTAGTTCATCAAGAAGAACTGTGTTTAAACTGTTTTTTTATTGTATTGTTAGAGTGATGGGATCATAGTGGCCCCAATAGCTGTCAAACATGATGGAAAAAACCTTGGGATTTCTTTTCTAGAGAACTATGGCAAAAAGACCCTAATTAAGGAAGAAGACCTCAGAGAAAGGTCTCTTCTCATTGATGGGTCTGCATTAGCTCTCTTGAGGCATTAATGGAATTCAGAACTCAGGGGTCATTAAGGGTTCTGTAGAGAACCTTGGCCTGAGGACTGGTTGAATATTGTGTTGGCTTCTTTAGGTAAGAGGGTGATTTTCCTCAGAAATGCTGCTTGACTGTTTTTAGAAGATTATGGAATAGTGACTTACACCTCGCCTATGCTGATTTTCCAGGTCGGTTCTCTGACTCTCATGAACTTTCTGAGCTTGGTAAGTAAGGCTGGAGAATTTATCTCTGTGTTTATTTACTTCATTTATACCTCACCTTTCTCCCCAGTGCAGACCCAAAGTGGCATAAATTGTTCTCTCCTCCATTTTATCCTCTCAACAATCCTGTGAGATGGGCTGAGAGTGTGATTGATCCCAGAACACCCAGCAAACTTCTGTGGCAGAACAGAGAACACTGCAGCGTCTCACTATACCACACTGGCTGCAGAGCCCCCAAACTTTCTTACGTAGATGCTGCTGGGCATTATCAGGTGAAATAGGCGTGAACCAGTTCTCCTAAGGAGAAAGATAATGTGAAAGTCAGGATTATTCAGTGGTTGCTAAAGGTTTGGGGTGAAGTAAGTGTAATCTTGGCCTTGGCCCAGGACAAGACAGATTCTAGTTCCTGCTTACCCATGAAGCTCAGTGTGTGACTTCTGTAAGTGTTGTTGTTAGTATGATACAGAGAAAAACTTAGCGTATTCTTTTCTGAGCACCTAAGCTCTTGGTCACATGAAACAGCCACTTTCACTAAAGAAAGCCTGAACAAGCTGGTGTTGCCATTGAGACAGGAGTTAAAGAGAAGCTGCAGGAGTAAGGATTCTTTTTTTGAAAGATGAATAAGTGAAAATTGCCCAAGTAGGGCTACTGTCTGCCATCAAGAGAGAAATTACTTCTTGTCTAGAAAGCAGAGCAGAAGAGAATTTCAGGATATCCCACATGGGCTGAGAGTGTGATTGATCCCAGAACACCCAGCAAACTTCTGTGGCAGAACAGAGAACATTGCAGCGTCTCACTATACCACACTGGCTGCAGAACCCCCAAACTTTCTTATGTAGATGCTGCTGGGCATTATCAGGTGAAATAGGCGTGAACCAGTTCTCCTAAGGAGAAAGATAATGTGAAAGTCAGGATTATTCAGTGGTTGCTAAAGGTTTGGGGTGTAATCTTGGCCTTGGCCCGGGACAAGACAGATTCTAGTTCCTGCTTACCCATGAAGCTCAGTGTGTGACTTCTGTAAGTGTTGTTGTTAGTATGATACAGAGAAAAACTTAGCGTATTCTTTTCTGAGCACCTAAGCTCTTGGTCACATGAAACAGCCACTTTCACTAAAGAAAGCCTGAACAAGCTGGTGTTGCCATTGAGACAGGAGTTAAAGAGAAGCTGCAGGAGTAAGGATTCTTTTTTTGAAAGATGAATAAGTGAAAATTGCCCAAGTAGGGCTACTGTCTGCCATCAAGAGAGAAATTACTTCTTGTCTAGAAAGCAGAGCAGAAGAGAATTTCAGGATATCCCACTTTGTCTTCCTTGAATGTGAGGATCTGTATAAGAAATTGTACAAGTATGTCTGAGCAGTAGAGAATTATGGTGCAGCCTCCTGAATAACTGTTTGAGGAACATAAGGATATAACAGCAATTGTGCTTTCTTGGTCCGATCGAGTACAGCATCCGACATCTACACACTGGACAACCAGATTCCCCAGGAAGGCCTTTGTGCTGGGTAGCGAGGCCAAAGTCTGTCCAGTTTTGCCCCTCTGCAATTGTATCTCAGAAGTTGCTGCCTCTAAGCACAGAAGTTCCATTTAGTTGTTGCTAATAGCCATTGATAATTTTGCTCTCCATGAGCTAGTGGCTGTCACAATATCTTTCCACAATCCAATCACACTCTTGAGTGAAGAAATACTTCTTTTTCTTTATGCTGAATCTACTGTCTGTCCCCTTCATTGGGTATTCAGAGTTCTAGTATCATGAGAGAGGAAGAAAGAAATTTTCTCTCTGCATAGGCTGCAGAAAATGGATTATTTTATAGACCTCTATCATGTCCCGCCCTTAGAGCCAAACTAAACGTGATGGTGGCCACATGTCCATTCTGTAGCAGCTGCAGCCATTTAAAAAAGCAATTGTACTTCTTTAAAAAGTGCCCCAAGGCCCTGATCTGAATTGGCTGCATTGTGCAGTGGTCCCAGGATCTCGTGTTTCTCACCTCTTGGTCTGTTATAAAATTTCAGATCCCCGCATTCCTTATTTCTGTTGTTTATGGCTGAACTTGATGTAACTATGTTGGAAGGCTTTGAAATGACTGCATTTGGGCCGTCTCCAAGGCTTCTGATACTGTGTTCCTGGGAAATGACACCACTCTTAATTCAGATGCTTTATTGCCATGGTACATCCTGCCAGTATTTCTAATCAGCTCACCAGGATGTCTGCCAAGTAGTAGCTGGTACTGCAGTATGCAGATGATAGTCAGATCCATAGTCCTTAGCATTTGTTTTTCATTATTGGCTAATCCTGATCTGCTTTGCCTCTATCAATTTTTGTTTTGTTTTGCAACCTCCATACTTCTTTATGTTTGCTTGGGGCTCATAGTCTACTGTAGAGCAAAGCTGTTGAGAAGGATATGCACAGAGTGCAGCTATTCTGCAGTACTGTGCAGGATGGTAAAGTTGAGGGCATAAAGTAAGGGCTCATACCAAGGCAACATTGATCTGGCCCAGATTTCTGTTTCTTTACCTTGGACTGGGGAGGAGGGCCCAGGCAGTTGTCAACTTCTGTGCTACGGATGAAGCTGGGAAAGGAGACAGCAGTGAGGACTGACCCTCCAGAACGATTGTTCCTTTTGAAAGAGAAAAGGTTTTGATCGGGAGGAGGATCTGGTTTCTTTTCCAGTTTACAAACAGCAGTAATTTTGTCTCTCTCTTTTACCTTTCTTAGTGTATTCTGCCTCCAATTTGCTGGTGTTGCTGAATGACTGGATCCTTCGGAAGGAGTTGCACCAGTCCCTTCCTGTGGTAAGAATCCCCTCTCAGCTAGAGGAGGGAGGAGGTGGCGGCGGCAGGCAGTCTGCTTTCCCCACCCTTGGTGGCTAGAACTCTGCTCTGGCTTCCTCCACTCTGTTGGTGCTTGGGGTCTAAGCTTGCCGTGATGTCTCAGGCATTTGCCAGCCCTTCTATGTCTTGCAGTTGTAGCATGGGTAGGAAAGGGGCCACAGCACTCAGGAAGAGGATTGAATGGCCTTATGTCCTTGCACAGCTGTTTCATTGTTTCGTATAGACTGTGTTAGGGTGGCCTGTTTCTCTGCCCATCAAGTGATCATTTGAATGGGCTGACATTGACTTGGATGCCAGGCTGTTCTGTTGGTTGGCTTTGTGTGGAAAGATCTTGGCTTGTTACTTTTTGGGGGCCCCAGCAGAATCCTCATGCTGGGATTTGAGAGAGAAATGAATGGAAGCCAGCTCAGACTCCTCTCCTGTCTCTTGCTTTGCAGTCACTTCCCCAGCAGAAGCTGCTGACATGGCTGAGCGTCCTCGAGTGCATGGAAGTCTTTGCGGAGATGGGAGCTGCCAAGATGTGGGGTGAGACTGGCCGATGGGCCATCATCGTCCTCATCCAGCTTGCCAAGTAAGTACTCAGTGGGGGAAAGAGGGAGATGTTGCTTGAAGGTCTGTAGATTGAAGGTAAAAGAAAGTGGGGGAAAGAGGGAGATGTTGCATAATGAATGACAAGACCCCACAGGCCTCTTGTTTGAAGGTCTGTAGATTGAAGGTAAAAGAAGGAGGGGATGACAAAGTAAACATGAAATTAAGCAAACTCCGGAGCATGGTGGAAGACAGGAGGGCCTGGCGTGATGTGGTCCATGGGGTTGCAAAGAGTCGGACTTGACTGTGCGGCTGAACGACAACAAAAAATGGTTCAGTTGCCACAACAAAGGTTGTGGGGGAGGGCACCTGTCAGGTGCTGTTGGGTCTTGGGGTATTACTTTGGGCTGGAGCATCATTCCTTTTCTAACAGGACTTGCCTTTAGGCATTGAAAGCCACACAGCTGCTCCGAGCCTTGTCCATTCACTCCCGTCCAGTGTATTCTTCACTTAGGCTTTGTTGCTCTCTACCTTTTCATCCAGCAATTATAGTTGGGAGTTCTGTCATCCAGTTCTCTGCCCACTCACACCTCCTGTGTGTGGTTCTGGAAGCCTTGAATGTCTTTATTTTGGCCCTGGGGATGGTGTGGGTGGGCTCAGAGGAAGACCAATACCATGGCAGGATGTTTGGCCACATGCATGGGAATGACCAATTAAATAGGCAAAAGAAATATCTGGTCCAAAGTGTGTTTCATCCTAAGCGGATCTACTGATGCTGCTCAGGGCTGCTTTACACATCCCTTGTGCTGTTGGCAGACCTGCCTGCTTTTGCAGTCTGTGGTCAGTGCTTACATTAAGCTGTTTGTCCTGATCACTGTGGTTTTGGCCTGTAAGTCACTACCAATGTTCCCTCTAAGCTGAGTTAGTGTGAGCTAGCTCACACTAACTCAGCTTAGAGGGAACATTGGTCACTACTGATAATTTTGTGCATTTATGAAGGTTAGACAGCCTATTTTGAGCCTGGGTTGGAAACAAGCCCTTTCCAAGCTGGGTCACAAATGCAAGGCTTGTGTGAATTGTCTGCCACAGCAAAATGCAGCTGTGTATTTTTCCAGCATCTTGGCTGTGAAGCTGCAGCTTCCAGTGCATGCCTGACGCTTTCAGCTCACGATTTGCTCTACCCCACAGAGCCATCCTGCGCCTCCTGCTGTTGCTCTGGTACAAAGCTGGCATCCAGACATCTCCTCCCATTGTACCACTGGACCGGAGACAGTCATTGCAGCAGGGAGGTGAGTCACATGCGTCACAAACTGCAGCCATTTTGGTGAGGGATGGAAGGAAGTTTTGGATGCAGCTCAGCTGAATGATGTTCATATCTGCTAGCCTCAAGGGGGAGGAATTCTTTTTGAGTAACAGTCTTTAGTAGTAGGTTTTTGAGTAGTTTAATCAACAGAAAAGCTCCAGTTTTTCCTTGTATTGCTTTGTTAGCACCTGGTTCTACTGATTCTCTGCCTGCAGTCATTGTTGGGCTGAAACCTGAAAGCAGTGGGTGCACATAGTGATAAAACAGAGAGCATCTGGGAGGTGATTTGTGATGTAAACTATTAGTGGGTGGTCACAACATTAAAGAGGAGTTGGAGGAGGCTTATGGAGCCATGGCTAAGACAGGTCATACCCAAAGGATTTCTGAAATGTGGGAGTTCCTGTAGCCTGAGCTCTAATTCCACTGGTTGTACAGCTGATGGGAGTCTGCTATGGGCCCAAAATACAGAGGATTCTTACTACCTTCTACCAGAATCCCTGCCCCACATCCTTTAGTGCAGCATTGTGCCACACAAGTCCTACTCATGCCCCGCCTTTACATTGCGCCACACCAGAGGCTGACCTCGCTGCCCCTCACAGGTTCTGTGGAATTCCTGTTGGCCCTCGTTGATGAACAGGAGTGGCTAGGGGCTCTCAGTGTGTGGATCCATCCATTGTGTTCAGTAAAGCTTGAAGCCTTCCTTCAACTTAACTGGCTCTTTAGGTAAGAGGAAAGCTTCAGACTTTGCTGGATCTACCCTGGTATACCTTTTGGAAGAGCATCTTTAGGGTTGCCAGTAGGTTGGGAGGAAAAGTCCTGTTCCTTTAGTAGAGACTTAATGTCTGGAAATAAGCAAGCTCTTCAGGGCATGGAGGTAAATAGCATCACCTGGTAAATAACATTTGATTAAACCTCTGTTAAAGGAACAGGACATTTTTTCCTCCAGGCAGTTGACAAGTTTACTTATAGCAGAATCTTCTGCTGAGTTGTTTTGGCGAGTGCTGGCAAAATGGGAGCCAGTTTTTGATTTCATCATCTCTTCCCAAGCCCATGTGTTGACTGTTCTTGACAGGTGAATGGATGTCTTATCCTGAGCAAAGTAAAAGCTGCAGGGAGGGTTTCACCCCAAGCCTAGTCTTTGGTCTAATATGCCTCTCTCCTGACAGACACAGAGGGCAACTCAACCGGCAAGGAGCAGATATATGTGGGGAAGCGCTCTAGCCGTGTTATGAGGTGCCTTGAAAGCAGTAAGTATTTTCTTGAGTCTGTCTCCTGTCTTTTGCATAGGGTGAGAATAGACTGTGGTATGCTTTGCCGAATTACAAGGGTAAAAACTGTAAGTGTGTCAGTAGCAGTGCTAATACCTGATATGCAGCGTGGAAAAACAATTTATTTACTGACTTCATTTATTCCTTGCCTTTGCCCCCAGTGGGGACCCATACTAGCTGAGTAGTCTTTGGATGGTGGAAGGTTGTGTGCTGAATCACAGAATTTATGAATGTACGTCTACCTACCCTCTCCCCCCCCCCATTGGGCACCCAAAGTGGCTGACCACATCAGTCTTTCCTCCTCTGTTTTACCCTTACAACGACAGCAACCCTGTGGGGGAAGTTAGGTTGAGAGAGAGTGTCTGTCCCAAGGTCACCTAGCAAGTTTCCACAGCAGAGTGGGGATTTGAGCTCAAGTCTCCGAGATCCTAATCTGTAACCACTTACACCATACTTGTTGCTCATGCAAAGTGTGCTTACCTTTCATACAAAACCAGTTGTTTTGATTTCAGCCCCATCTCTGCACTCCAGACACTGGGGAGCACCTCAGCAACGGGAGGAGAAGCAGAACCAAAGAGCCATGGAGCTGGACCAGCCTCCGACCCCTTTGAGCGTCCAGGAAACCATTGCGGAATCTATTTATGTGACTAGGCCGCTGCTCCACTGTATCCTGCTCTGGCTTCCAATGGACCTTGCAGTGTATCCTGTATGCCACTAGATAGAGCTGCAGCCTCAGTGTACAGTTTCCCAATCCTTCATGTTAAATGGGCGTGACTCTCAGGAAAGCTTCAGCTTTGCGTCTGTCAGCGGGCTGGAAGATCGTCTCCTATTGCCCTCTCCTGTTGTGCTGACACAGCATAATAGCTGCTGTAACCCCTTCAGGCTTGGAGAGCCATTCTGTTTCCACAGGCATAGCAATTTTCTCATTCCAGTTAATTCCTTAACCTTTGTTCTTAGTACTAAGTTTAGGGCTTTGGGGACAGAGATCATGGAAACCCTGGCTCATGTCAGGATTCTTGGATATCACAAGGTCAGTTTGGAGAAAAGGACTTTTGTATCTCAACTCTTTCCCCACATGTTGTAGCACAATTAGCGGCAATGACCAGCCCATTTATTCACAACTAAAAAGGGGGAGAAACAGCATTACTGTAAGTAACTGGAGAAATGTGGAGGGAGGAGTTAATCTTTTGCAACAGATGGGCCTGTCTGGTAGTTTTTCTGCACACTCTAGAGATTCCTGTGGCTGAGCTTGACATGAACCATGATGGAATCTGTTTTTGCTGCCAGGGTTCAATTTTGGAACATATAGTAGCCATACTGGCCCTTTGTGTGAGAGACACAATTTGTTTACTCAAGTTAGTATAGAGAACCCAGACAACATAGTTGCCGCATAATTGCATCCCAGTGTTTTGCTTTCTTGAAGCCTTGCAGCACCAGCCTCTCACATGTGCAGTGTTGAGATACCTGTCTAGTGGAATGATCCAAGAGGTAGTTGGTGAGATGGTGGGTGTGGGCTGGTTGTGCTGCCAGTGAGCTTTCTTTCCCCCTGCTGCCTTTGATCATATGCAAAGTTCTTACCGGCAATAGATTTGACTAGCACTACAGGGAAGTGCTTTTGCACCAGAAAGCTTGGCTCCCAGGCAGTCTTGAGGCCTAGTAGTTCTCCTGTCATTATTGGGCAAGGGGGTGAGGTTTCCTTTCTTAGGAAGAATGAAAAATGAAAGGAAGCCCCACACGTGTTGACACATGCCAAGGCACCGAGGCTGCTGCTTTATGACTCTGTGCCTGTCCTTCTGCAGCTTGAGTTTACTGAGTGACGTGAAAGAGCTGAACAAGCGTGAGCGCCTGGAGCTGAGGCGACGGACTATCTTGCTGCTGTACTACCTGCTGAGATCTCCCTTCTATGACAGATACTCAGAGTAAGGATGCCAGGCTGGTTTCTGCTCTCTCTCTCTCTCTAAAGAGAGAGAATTGCCCCTCTCTAAAGGGAACCGTGTGATTTCTGGAGGAGCTGGGTGCTCTGGCCCCTTGGAACCTGTGGCTTGTGAGCATTCATTGTTCTGAAAGATTGCGTCTGCTGCTGGGTTTCAAGGGGCTTTTTCCAATAGGGCAAGATTCCACCCCCAGGAGCCTGTTTTATCTTCTCTTTCCTTAGGGGCAGGATCCTCTTTTTGCTGCGCTTGCTGGCAGATTACGTCCCTGGAGTTGGCTTCGTCACACGTAAGTAGGTGGTTACTGTACTGGGATGGAAGTCATAGGAGAGGATCCTTTACCAGCCTTGGGTCAAATGTGCATGTTCATTTTAAAGGAACCTTCCAATTGCCATGTGTTGAAATATGGGTTGGTTGAAATGTATGGCTAGACGCAGGGCTGGAAAATTTCCAGGCACCAGAAAACTGCTGGTACCTGGAAATATAAAATATCATATAATATTATTTTTTAAATATTTCCTTTGATGTGTATAGGGCTTGCTACCTAAATATGCTATAATAATTTGGGGGAATAGAAACCATTTCTTTTGGCATTGGTGGGAGAAAATGACTGGTAACCTTAATGCAGCTTTTGCTGGCATTGCCTGCCATTACTACGGAAAGTTCTATAGTCAGGAGCGGTAGCAGTGGAAGATTGTGTAGTGAGTCGCATAATTTTTTAGTATATTACCCCACTTTCCCCCAGTGGGGACCAATCTTCCCTCTAAGCTGTGGAGTCCTGTGAGCAGAAATTCTACTTTGTGGGCTACTGGCATTAAAGTTGTGAGCAGGTAGTTTGGCTGCTGTATAAAATTAGTTTGCTCTGGAGCCATCTTTCCTGAGCTAAGACAAAAATGTGTGAGCTGGAGGCTAAAAAACTGTGAGCTAGCTCACACTAACTCAGCTTAGAGGGAACACTGGTGGGGACCTAAGTGGCCTAGAGTGACTGTCCCAAGGTCACCCAGCAAGCTTCCATGGCAGAGTGGGGATTTGATCTTGGCTCTCCCAGATCGTCTGACAGTCTAAGCGCAACACCAGGCTGGCTCTGCAGGCTTTTTACAGCTGCAGTTCTCCTCCTTCCAACCACTCTTCCTCTTGGAAGGTGAGATTCCATCACGGGGGACTGATTGCTTAGGGACTGAGCAGTGCTAAGGTGTATTCTTTTAGCCAGCAGAAGGTGGTCATTTTCTCTGCCTTGCAGGTCCTCCCCTTAACCGTGGTCCAGCAGCGATTCCTATGCCTGAGCACAGGGAAAGATGGAGGAAGGCAGAGTTGTGCGAGTTAACACGTACATGTTACTGTCTACACTCACTGTTTTCTCCCCCCCATTTCAGGGCCACTGATGGATTACTTGCCAGCCTGGCAGAAGATATATTTCTACAACTGGGGTTGACCTGGCATAATTGTGGAGTCTGGAGCTGGGATGGCTCAAGCCGAGAGCAGGATCTTGCAGTGACAGGAGGCCCTTATGCCAAGGGAACCAGCTGTGGGGACCTAGAAAATAAATATGTCTTTTTGCATCTTATGCCAATGATTGCAGAGATTCCTGTACAGGGAAGAGGAAGGGCTCTTCTAATGTCTCATTTTTCTCTCTCTTTAAAGAATCTTCTTGTGAACTGTGAACTCCACATAGTGTGGGACTTAAAGAATCTATGCTACTCCCCTTTCCATTCTGGGGTAACTGGTTTCAGAGCTGGTGGGGGGACCCTTTTTGTACACATTTTGTATGGCTGCAAGTTAATAAAGCCGGGAGTCGGCAGTGCTTTCGGGCTGGTTGATCTGGTCTCTTCTATATTGGCAGGTGTTTACCTCCTTGCTTCCAAGCCAGGCAGTTGGACACCTGGATGCATTCCCCCCCCCCATCTCAGAGACAGGCATGGAAGTGTGTGTTTGTGTGGGGGAACTAGGGCTGTCTCTTTAGGGTTGCTGTATTCTTAGAGTATCTTGCATTTCTGTTTAAAAGGATCTCTACTAGCAGATGTTGTTGCAAAGGCCCCTGGGTAAACTGCTGCCAGTAGAGACTATATTTCTTCATTTAAAATGTTTATATCCCACTTTTCTCCCCCATCAGAGCTGCCTACATCATTAAAGCCAGCTAAAATCTCACACAAATTCAGATAACAAGAAGAGAGCAAGTTGTTTTACCTGATCATGACGACTGACCCCCACGTATAGGCCACCGAAAGCGTGTCAGAAAAGCTCTGCAAAACAGAGGGGCCTCAGAAAGCCCATTCCATAAGACAGGAGCAGAAACAATTCCCACCCATTTGAGTGGAGGGAACTGTTAAGAATCCTTGGCCTGATAATGGGAGCTGCCTTGTAGGCACATATGGACGGAGGCCATCCCACAGTCCGCATGGTCAAAGCAATGGTATTCCCCGTAGTCATGTATGGCTGCGAGAGTTGGACTATAAGGAAGGCCGAGCGCCGAAGAATAGATTCTTTTGAACTATGGTGCTGGAGAAGACTCTTGAGAGTCCCTTGGACTGCAAGAAGATCAAATCAGTCAATCCTAAAAGAAATCAACCCTGACTGTTCCCTGGAAGGCCAGATAATGAAACTGAAGCTCAAATACTTAGGCCACCAAATGAGAAGGGAGCACTCACTGGAGAAGACCCTGATGCTGGGAAAGATTGAAGGTCAAAGAAGACGGGGACGGCAAAGGATGAGATGGTTAGACAGTGTCATAGATGCAACGAACATGAAATTGAGCAAACTTTAGAGGACGGCGGAAGGCCTGGCGTGATCTGGTCCATGGGGCCGCGAAGAGTCGGACTCGACTGTGCGACTGAACAACAGCAACATCCCACAGAACTGAGGGTACCTGGCCATGAGGGTTGACAAAATACATTGAACTGAATGCACAAGCAAGTTGGCAGCCAATTTATTGATCATAAACTTGGGCTGACACAATCAAAACAACTGTGGTCAACAATCTAGCTGCTTCATTCTGCACTGCAGTTTGTGTTGTCTTCAGGAACAGGCCCCTACAGTAGACCAGTTGAGATAGAGAATATTGAAATAAATGGACCAATAGTCTGGCTTCAACTCATAGAGAAACCGTTGAAGGGCCATAGATCGGTGTGTGTGTGGGGCAGTGCTGTATGCATCTTTCAAGGCCCTTTCTCTCTTTTTTGGTTATATCATACATTCTTGGATTAAGCATAACATTAAAAGGTATGTTAAAGCTCATATTAAGCCATTGCTCCTCTGGCTGCAGACTCAAAACCTTTCCTGTCTAAAAGACTTTTGTCTTCACTAGCACATTCAAGGCATACATATACAGCACTGCTTCAGTTGGCGAGGGAGTGAACACCCCCTTTGGCTAACCCAGGCAGTAAGCCCAGAATGCTCTTGGGTACTCTTTGCCTTGGCCTGGCTCCAGGGGTCCATATGTGTCTCAGCTGGAGCTTAGTATATCAGGGTCTGAGGCTGCTGGTGTTTTCCCTCTGCTGGTCTGCTAAAGTTTCCTGCCATCTCCTTTCTCTTGCAAGGGTATTGACTTTCACAGCTTGCAGACTGCCCCATTAATGGGTGATGTGGCTTTGCAGAACAAAAGCTGGCTGCTGAGGGGCTGGCAAAACAGGAGAAAGGCCTCAGGAAATTAGTTGATGTTGGGTTACACGAGGTTCTCAACAAATGAAATGTAAAGGCCAGAACTGCTGTATAGGTCAGGTAACCCAGAATGGGCAAGTATCCAAGCAAATAATGAAGGCCTTAACTAGAACTCTGCCTGGGCTGCTGTATATGAGGCACTTTGTGGTGCCCTCCCACTCGGTTACACACTGGCATTTCGTCTATTGTTGCTAATCTTCCTGTGAATGCACATTTGCCGGCAAAACGAGCTTTGGGGCCTCTTTAATGTATTTGTGTGTGGCAGGCTGCCTGTACTGTTTTGCCATGAGTCAGTTTTGAAGTCTCGGCAGTTTTCTGGAGACAGAATGAGAATGCTCAGCTTGTTATAAATATCCCTAAAAACAAAACCTACCCGGGCTGGCAATACTATTTCCTATAAAATTTTCATCTACTAAAGTAAATATTTGCACAGTGAAGGAAGACTAGCAATACTCCAGCTGGGCATTTAAGCAAGCTCAGTAAAGAAGAAGAAATAATGTTGGTTTGACTCTATCACAGGGGAGAAACACAAGGGAAATGGTGTTGGGGTGTGGACAATCCATGAAGACAGCTGATAGCCCATCCACACTTGAACATAGATGTAAGATGGGGAAAATTCAACAGGCACAGCTGTTCCAAGCATACAGGTGCTATGATGTCAGTTTTGGCTGTAGAATTTCTGCCTGTTACAAAAGTGTTATATCTTTTTTATTAAGACCAGCTACAATAACAAATAATGAGCTCAAGCTTTTAAATTCCTCAGAACTATTCATCAGGCTGAATGTTAGGTGCAAAAAAAAACGGGGGGAGGGAGAAGCTCCAGTGTGAAGATGGAAGAGCTCAAAGTCTGCTGTTTGTGGCTATTTTAAAATAGAGATGAGGAAATGGCTGCAGGCCTAAATTGATGACATAGCAGTGGATTCCCCCCCCCCCCCCCGGAAAAACCCCCCCCCCACAA